CAGCGCCTCCCTCGGGTCCGGGGATTCCGGGTCCCGCGGCCAACGGTTGGAGCGCGTCATAGTCCTCCTGACCCTGACGCACTCCTCACGCCTGACCGCCACCTCGGCGTTCCACCAGTGGACTGGCGGTCCGCGAGTCGACGGCGGTCGTTTGGCCGGGAGGGCGAAGTCGCAAGCTGCGACCACCCTCCGGTCCAACTCTTCCGCCGCTTCGCTCGCGGAGACGCGCCGGTCCGGTACCGCGGGCGCCGACCATTGAGCGAGCAGTAAGCCCGTCTCAAAAGCGTCGACGTCCGTGGCCGGTCCGACTCGCCAGCCCACTCGCCCACCGCGAGACGGCACGCGGGGCACGGCTCAAGGGGGACGGCCACCATCGCCGCACTCGTACACGATGTACCGGTGGTCGCTGAGGTTTTCCCTGTACGGGAGAACCGACCAGCCGGTCACGTGCGGGTGCAGCGACGGAGACACCAGCGTGACGTCCACCACCGAGCTCGAGGAGTGACCCTCGAANACACCACCGAGCTCGAGGAGTGACTCTCGAACGTCGGGGTGGATCCCCTATTGGCCGATACCAGCCCGAGGGCCGACATCAGGTCCAACAGTTCTTCGCTACGCTGATTCGTGTCCGCCGACCCCCAGACCGGGGAGTGAGCGTTGTCCCCGGCCACGAGCTCCCCGCGGCCGCCCGAGTTTCCTCGCCCGTAGGCAGGAGGACACGGACTCGAGGAGTCCGGCGATCGGCAAGCTGGGCTGCGCGTAGCAGCTCAAGACGTCAATGCCGTCAATCCTCGCCGCTACGAATCCGTCGCCAACCTCGATGTCCGCGACCGTTAGGCCGCGGCTCATCACTCCGATCGCCGCTCTCCCGGACCGGTCCAAGTACCACCCCGGGGCGTCCTTGATCAGTCCGACAAACGGTTCCGAGATTACGCACACGTCGATACGCATCTCGTATACCGCCTGCCGGACCAGATCCTGCGCCGCCCTACAATGGTTGAGGTTCGTTTGAAGGAACCTCATCCACTGGTGGGCGGCGCACAGGACGCCTTAGGGGTCCCTTGGACCGCCGACACTTCTCCCCGGGGCTTTTCAACACCCCCTCCCTTAGTCCCCTTAACTTGGGGACCGGGGCAGTCCTTGGACAGGTGCCCCACCCTCCGGCACCTGAAGCAGGCACCCTTGCGGTCCGGACCTTTACAGGCGGCCGCAATGTGCCCTCGCTCCAGGCACCTGTAGCACTGAGGACCCTTGTCTTCGAGGATCCTCAGCCTACAGGAGCTCCACCCCACCCTCACTCTTGTGAGGGCCGCTAGGCGTGGAGCCAGCCGAATGGGCAGGTCACACCTGGCGTACCGCCCCTTGCCGACTCCGTTGGTGCGGACCATAACCGCACCAACTTCGGCCTGGCCCCCGTCAGGGGCCTGGAGGGCGGAGACCAGGGCGGACTTAATGTCCCCTGGCTCCATCCACTCCTCTACGTCCAGGAGCATGACGCTGCAGGTCTTAGTCGGCCTGCTGACCCGAACGTCATGCTCCTGAAGGGCCTCCTTAAGCTTGGCGGCCAGGAGGTCTGCGTGCGAGGCCACGCCCTTGACCTCCAGCAGCACCGCCCCTGCTTGGGTCCTCCTGGTGCCGGTAACTTGGACCCCCAAGGCCTGGAGGTCAACAGCCGCCATGGCCGTTTTCATAACGGCCGCGTACTGCTGCCCCGCCTTCAGGGGCCCAATTACCACCGCCTCCGTGCGGGGTACCTTCGCCTTCATCTGGGCAGCCGAAGGCTTCCTCGACCCCGCTTTCGGGGAAGGTTGCTTCGGCTTCAGGGCGGCCGGTCTTACGTCCCGGGACCCCGGGTCAGTCGGCTTCTTTACCTTGGCCTTCCGACGGACAACTTCGGTCCACAGCGGCACTACGGAAGTGGTGCTCGCCGGAACCTTGGCCGTCTCCGGGGCCGTCGGCGCTGTTTCGATCGACGTAGCCGGTTTGTCCGCCGGCTGCGGCTCGGGCGCGATGACCGCTTTCTTCTTCTTTCCCGCCTTTCTCTTCCCCCGCTTCTTCACCCTTCTGGGTGTTTGCATCGCAGGGGGAATAGAGGCGGGAGTAACGCCACTGGCATTCTCCGCCACCCGTTCGCCCTTGCACGACCCATTGCCTCCCGCAACCTTCTGGGACTCCGTCTGTGTCGACGAATCGACCTTCGGGAGATCCTCATCAAGTGTGCGGGTAAGCTCCAGGTCGTGCATGGAACGCACACTTCTTATAAGTGCCATGGCCGCTGTCACCACGTTGGCGTGCGGTGGTACGACTTCCATGACACATTCTAAGACATCCGCCAGGTGGACAACCAGCTCCAGGCCTCATGGAAGACGTCGGCAGCCGCGATCTCCACACACTTCCGCCTCTTGGTCTCCGGCGCTCTTCGGGGGGTGTCCAACATTGGGATTGGGGCATCCGGAGGGGTGTCGTCCAACGTGACCACCTCCGGTCCATCCACCGTTGGAGACACCTCCTTCCTCTTCCCGCGAAGAGCGTCGTCTCCCCCTGACGTTTCCGCCATGCATCCATCAGGTGTGGTACCCGATGGCGACGAGTTACCCGACCCCACTCTGGATGAACTCAGCAGCCTCTCCATTATGGAGGGCTTAGCTGGAGCACCCAGAGGTGTGGCCGCATACGTAGTGTCCAATTCCGTGTCCGAGTTATCCGAGATTCCAGTCGCCAATGACCTCCCGGCTGTTTCACCGGCGGGAGTGGCTTGGTCGCCACCACTCCCTGCAGTCGCAGTACCAACCCCGTGGTTGGCTGCAGGAGCCTGCCTCAACACTCCTGCATTTACTGTGTATTCGCTTGATCCTAGCGACACCTGGTGGGTACACCCCCCACCAACCGCCGGCACTGGGGCATCCGATACCCCTGATGCAGTAACCTTTAACTCAGTGATGTCCATTATTCATATAAAATAATTTGTGAGGGGGCTGCCCTCATGGCCGGTCCCTACGGCCAGTGAGTGGCCAACTCACTGGTTGCGTGGTCCGTTATGCTCCTTCTTCTCACCCAAACGCTACCGCTTATTCGTCCATAATGGCTTATTTCACGGCTACCCTGTATATCTACAGGGCTAACAAGCGTTTGGGCGGCTCGCTGTCCGCGACCGCTTATTCGTCAGTCCAAATGAATGGACTGCTTATTTCGCGGCTAACCTGCATATCTGCAGGCCGTTCCTCTATCCGCAACCTGAGGACGCGCCCGATACCCCGTGCTAGGGACCTATCGGACATATCCCAGGACTGCGCGCGAGAAAACATGTCTACTAGTAGTAACAGACTGCTATAGTAGATGGGTGGAGGCCTATCCACTTGGGCAGGCCACTACCAAGTCAATCATCGATACGTTAGAAAAAGAGTTCTTCTCACGTTTCGGTTATGCTCGAGCGCTCTTGTCTGACAACGGAACGCAATTTGTCTCTAAAGCAATGGAGAAAGCACTGAAGAAGTGGGGAACACAAGGTTGGACGACACCGATCTATCACCCCAGGGCAAATCCAGTTGAGCGCCGAAATCAGGACTTGAAAAAAGGACTACGGACTGCGCTGATTGAAAAACCACATAACCAGTGGGACAGTTGCATTCCAAGTATTCTTTTTTCAGTGAGAAACCGCAGGAACAGACTGACAGGATGCACACCATCAGTCTTAGCTTTTGGACGCGAAGCAAAAGCTCCCGGTGATTGGCTACTGGACATCAGTTCTACGGGTAAANAGCTACTAGACATCAGTTCTACGGGTAAAAAACCGTAAAATTTAGGAGATACCCAAAGAAAGGAGGAATTGTCCAGTAGAACACAAACTTTTACCGAAGAATTACCGGAAAAAGTTCAATTTTCCACAGAGGAACCGGGAAAATCTGAAAACACCGGACGATCCGGTGGAAAAATAAATTTTTCCGGGGGGGGAGAGCAACCCTCCGATGAACTCGGATTGAACTTCGGTAAAAGTCATCGCAGGACCACACCTACCCGGCTAAAAAATCACCTAGATCGTTTTACGGAAGGGGATTGGGTTTATTACCGCGCACATCCCCTGTCTAGCGCTGAAAAGAAATTTCATGCGGGTTTTGCACCAAAATGGCTAGGTCCAGTGCAAATTGGTAAAAGATCAGGTGAGGGGGTCTATGTAACCAAAGGTAAAAGTCAGTTGAAGCTTCACGTTTCGGCCCTTAAACGTGCAGCTCAATTGGAGTATTCTAACGATTTTGATTGGTTACAGAATGGCAGATCACCAGCCGACGGTCTCAAGACTACACTCCAGGCGATCGGGAGGCCAAAACCGACCCAATCGCCCATCACGTGCCGCCACGGCAGAGGTCGTCGCGATGATGCGAAGCGTGATGCGGAAGATGAGGAGAGGGGTATCCACCTTAATGGGGGAACCCGCCGACGACGTTCCGACGGAATGGACGGTCAAGAGGGCCAGGCGGGCGGAGTTATGCGAGATCCGCGCCAACCCTCTACTCTGGGCCATCTACGAGAGGGGAGTCGCCGATAGTGGTCGCAGCTCAGGAGTCATGGAAGGCCACGGACCACGGGGCAGGAGAACGCGAGTGAGACGTACGATACCTCACACCCCGCGTACCCGGCAGCCGGCTCAACAACGTCTCGAACGACCACCTGCATCAGTAAGTCGCCCGGTGACTAATCGTCACAATATACGCGACGAGAACGGTCGTTTCCGTTCTCGTTCCAACCGGACTCCGGAACGGACACAGTCCCCAGCTCAAACAAGGATTCAAGAACCAGTGATATTACACGCTGGGGCACCAAGCCAGACACTTACTGTGCCACCAAGTCAAATACCTCGCCAGAGAGTGATCTCGGAGAGGGAGGTCGGAGGGCGGCACGGGGTTTCGGACGTATTAGATACGAACGGAAACCGTCGCCATAGTCTGCCGGTCGTATTTGTGGGAGGTGATCGACCGGATCCGACCTTATGTACGTTTATACAGCCCGACACGGTGGAGCAGATGGAGTTGGAGCCGGACGTCGAATCCATACTGAACGCGCCCCCCATCTATATGTCGGATGTTGAAGGGCTGGAGGACGTTCCGCCTGACCAGCTGCCCTAGGCACACTGTAGGGCCGACCAGTCGGACTGGGGGGGGGGGAGTATGTCGCGGTCGCTTCTCATTTCCGGTGTTACCACCGGATGGCGATCGCGGCGCTTCCTCTTCACGTCCGACAGGTCGCGCTATTTGCGGTGACCGACGGGCGGTGAGAACCGGTCGCTCGGTGCTGGACAACACTCGTTTTTTCGATCTGTCACGTTGACCTTTTATGAGGAACAAAAGATAACTTTATTTAATTATTGTATAATTAAGATTATTGTTGTAGTGACTAATAAAAAACGCTATTGGTTTACTACTTATTATTATTGTTATTATTGTTGTCATTATTATTATATTTACTACCCTGAACACATCAGTATATACATAGACACTTGATACATAGAAACTTACTTTTACATAAATTTATGTTCACTGAAGAAACATTGCATACAAAAAAATTTACTGCAAATTTTACACTTTGTTGTTACTTGCCTGGTTATTTTTTGAGCATGAGTGCGTCCTCCTTGAAGCATCATTTCTTTATAGCAAACAAAACAACGTCCTCTTGATTTAACTTTTTCTAGTTCATGATATTGTGTATTTTGTACTGATTTAGACAAATTCATTTCATTTGTTTTTAATAAACTTTTAACCAGTATTTCTCTAAACACAGTAATATCCATTTTCTCTTGATGTATTTCTTCATATAATGATAATGCGTTGAGAACTGATGTGTTTAGAAGTAATTCAAAAATAATTTTTTTATACCACTTTAAAGTTCTACGAAGTGGGTTGTGGTATGAATTTCTAAGATCAGTGACATCCACTAACCCTTTACCTTTATTATAATCTATAATAACTTGAGGTTTTTTAACTTCTTTTCCTCGTTTATTTAAAATAGTAGCTTGAGCATCGGAGTGTTGAGTTGATATCATTAGTACATCACGCTTATCTTTCCATTTTAAAACAGTTATTCCTTTATTAAATTGCTTTGCAAACACTTCTCCTTTTTTTTGTTTTTTGTTTACCACATCTTTTGGATTACATTTTCTGTTGGAACGAAGAGTACCAACCAAATTAGTAGATCTGTTCAAAAGTTCACTAGCCAAATCATAACTACTGTACCAATTATCTGTATACATTGTTCTGCCTAAATCAAGGTAATCTTCTGCCATTTCCATTACCACTTTTGTTGACACTCTCTGACCAGCCATAGCCTCCTTACCAGCATAAATTTTAAACCCAATAGTGTAGAAGTTATTAATGCATAGTTTAAATACTTTAATACCATATTTATGAGCTTTATTTTGTATATATTGCTTAAATGACAGACGACCAGTAAATGGAATTATTGACTCGTCAATACACATAGACTGCTTTGGGGTCCGTGCCATTTTAAACTTTGATAAAAGTAAATCAAGCAAATTATTTACTTTGTATAAACGGTCACCTGGAGGACAAAGAGCATTATTGCAGCAGTGAAATGTTCGCAAAAGAAGTTCAAATCTTTTTCTCTTCATAAATTGAGGTATATTGGATGTATAAATAATACTATTTGTTTTCCAGTATGAAGCTATGGAAGGTTGAGGACATAAACCCATCCACATAATAATTCCTAAGAATGTTTTCATTTCAGTATGAGTAACATTTTCCCATTTTTTAAGGCGTGAATGAGGACTAACTACAGATATTAATAACTCTGCAGCATATCTGTTTGTTTCTTCAACTAACAATTGAATAACTTCATCATCCAAAAATAATGAATAAAAATCAAAAGGAGTACCTTCAGATAAACTATCAATTATATCTGGATTAATACCAACTGGTTCATCCATTTGATTGAATATAAACTGAGGCTGTAATTCTTCATCAACATCCACCCAAATAGGCTCTGAATGTTGACCGTTACTTTGTTTTGCAGTTGACTGCACATTTTCAGAAATTGATGCAATATTACCATTCTATAAGTAAACAAATATTTCAATTAAATTATAAGAGAAATAATATACAGAAGATGGATTCAACAAAATCATAGTATATTAATTTTCTTACCTCCAACCCAAGATCTTCATTTTCCAAATATCCGTGTCATAGCCAGACCAATTGGATAAATTTTCTAAAATATTATTTATGCTATTTTCATTCATATGTAATTAATATAGTAATTAATCATTCATATAGTAATTAAAAAAAAAACACTCAGTTCACGTAAACTGATAATACGAGGCACGTGTGTGAGTTGATCAATGTGGGGCCTGAGTATCAAATGTGATACTGATCTATTATCGATTGAATATTGCCAAAATTTGATTTTATATCATGGAAGAAAAAAATGGTGTACAAATATCATAATTTAATTCACATAAATCATATGGGCAACTGACAACAACTTCTAAATTATATTTGGGCAACAATCGTTAGAACAGTGAGAATCGAATATGATTCTCAAAGCGAGAATGGCAAGTTAACCTAAATGAGAGGGGCACTATACAAAACTACGCCGTGTATCATGTATGATACTCAAGGCAGTCAACTTATTAAAGGTTACAATATTTCCGGAACTTTTGCAAAAGTTAAGTTGAGTTTTGTGAAAAAGTTAATATTTTGAATCTTTTCTTGTGGGCTGGTAAAGGGTTAGATTTTCAAAAATATTTTATCAAATAAAAAGGAATTATTTAAGGTTTAAATTTAAAAAATAATTAATTTTATTTGTTCATTTTTCAATAAGTTATGGCAATTTTTAGGAAAAAAAAGTAAAAAAAATGTATCAATTTTTTTGAAGATTTCTCCCATTTACGTGGAACGAATGAAATTTTTTCAATTTTTGAGGGTAATGTCTTCAACTAAAGTTATGGTCTGACAGGCGCGACGTGTCGTGACGACGGCGATCATGAACTGTCGTTGCGACTGTTGTGAACAAGTTTCGACCGCTACATGTCGCGATGATAAAATTATTATTTTCATCAAACAGTAATATTTTCATTTCAGTTTTATATCTCTTCATGTACGCATTATGTGAGTAATCTTAATAAATTCTTATACAATGGATACATTTATTTTTAATAATAATAATATTTTAAGTCTCCTCTTAATGGATGAGAATGACGATGAGGCTAGATTATTATCTTATTTAACGCAAAAGAAAAGAAAAACAACGGACAATATCTTTAAAAATCGCAAAAGAGAAGGAATATTTCCAAATTAATTATGAACAAATTAAATTTTTACTATCTTTGGTGGAAGAAAAATTAACCACCTAACAATCGAGTTAAAAATCTTATATCGCCAGCAGAAAAATTAGCAGTTACTTTAAGGTATTTATAACTAATTTAATATTTTGTAAATTATATCTATAATATAGATATAGTATAGGTATAGATTCTATACCTACCAGTGGCGTATTAACGATAGTAATTAAGTTTGAATTATTTTTAAATAAGTATCTTGCCACTGGTGAATCATTGAGATCATTAACATTCGCTTTTTGTGTCAGTCATAACTATTTAAGCATAATAATAAAAAAAACAATAGCTGAATTGAACATTAAAGTGGTGCCCATTTTTTGCCCGATTCAAAAAATATTGATTATAACACAATTATCCGCAGAATTTTAGTACAAGTGGAATTTTCCAAATTGTATTTTAGCAATCAACGGAAAACATGTCCGTATACGAAGTTCAAGCAATTCTGGTTCATTATTTCATAATTATAAAGATTTTTTTTCAATTGTACTTCTGTGCAATGGTGGATGAGAATTATAAATTTGTTGCTGTGGACATTGGTTCTTTTGGTAAAGAAGGTGATAATGGCATTTTTTTAAAGTCAAATATTGGACAGAAAATTTTAAATGGGACATTTGGATTTCCAGAAGAGTGTCAACTTCCTGGATCAGATAAAGTAGCACCCCATGTAATTGTTGGCGATTAAGCTTTTCGCTTACATAAACACATAATGAAACTGTACACGAGGAAAGTTTTAGTTTTAGTTTTAGTTATTATTGAGGTGGACGTAATGCCCATGCACTCAGACCTGTTGGCCCATTGTGCGCACCTCATACCGAATTGTCTTGATTCGGTTTACCCACCTAAGTGTTGTCACCAAAGTGTTAATACATTACCAACCATAAAATCACCTCTAAAGATGACCAAAGAGTCCTGTCTTTCTGGCGAAATTAAGTATCTCTCTGGGTTTTAGGTTTTTAATATCCTCTTTTTCAGGAAATGGTTTATTCAAGTAGTTTGATCTTAGTGTGGACAAGGCTTCACATTCGCACATGATGTGAAATGAGTCTTCCTCTTCTACTCCACACTTCCTGCACAATGGTGATTCCGATACCCCCATTGCGTTAAGATGCTTAAGCAGGTGACCATGTCCTGTCAGTAGACCAGTCAGGGTGCTTATTTGATGTCTAGTCATGCTATTAAGATCACCCAGCAATAAACCAGGGGTCTTGATAAACATTTTAGATTGTCTAGGTACTACCAAGTACTTCCAGATTTTCCTGTGTTGTTCTCTGCACCAATTCTTGGGTAACGCTTTGAGCGATTGCTCAGTGAGCCCTACCACTGGTTCTGGTCCAACATAGGTGTTCTCTGCTCCTTTCCTGGCTAGAAAGTCAGCATTCTCATTTCCAGTGACACCGTTGTGTCCCGGTACCCACGCTAGTGTAACTTTGTTGAACCTCGATAGTGATTCTAAAGTTTTCCTGCATTCGAAGACCAGCTTTGAATTCACCTGATCGTTACAGAGTGCTTTCAAAGCCGCTTGACTATCACTTAAGATAGTTATCTTCCTATTTTTGTATACCAGCAGGTTCTGAGCCCCTACCAGTATCGCCATCACCTCTGCTTGGAAAACAGAGGGTGTTGTGCCCAANGGAAATCAGAGGGTGTTGTGCACAATGACATACTGACATTTATTCGTGGCTTTAAGCCCCAAATTCCAGCACCTACCTTTGCTGATTTTTTGGATCCATCTGTATATATCACAAATCCTCCTTTGTCAGTCAGGTGGTTAATATTCCATTCTATACGTGTAGTGATCTCCACTTTGTAGGGAATGTTATTCTTAAGAACCGGTTTGATATAGTCCAAGGGGTATTCTAAAAAGCCCTTGTCAATCTCTTTTAGTATTTTACCATGTTCTGTTGTATCACTCTCCAAAGTCCACATACCTAAGTTGTGGAATCTTAGTGCTGTAGCTTTGGCGTGAGCTTTCACCTCTAGATGCAGAGGAGGCAATCCAATTAGTGCCTCTAATGCGACCGTTGGTGTAGTTGTTAATGCTCCAGTGATAGCAATAGCAGCCATTCTCTGTATGCGACTAAGTTCTTTCCTAGCTGTAATGAGTGCTGTTCTGGTCCACCAGACCAGGGCACCGTACAATATCATAGGTTTAATCACTGACGTGTACAACCAATACATAACTCTTGGTTTAAGACCCCATGTCTTTCCCAAGGCTCTGCTGCAAGTCCACAATGTGGTCATTGCTTTTTTGATTCTTGACTCAACATGTGATTTCCATTTTAGCTTACTATCCAAGATAATACCTAAGTATTTTACTTCTGATTTTAAGCTAATTTCTTGTCCATTCAGAGTAAGAGTGTCCAGGTTGTCTAGTCCTATTCTCTTTCTAGTGAACATAACAACCTCTGCTTTATTTGGATTAACAGATAGACCGTACTTACTACACCATATCTGTATAGTGTTAAGTCTCTGTTGTGCTAAGTCAATAATAGTGTCTGGGAATTTACCCACCACTGTTATAACCAAGTCATCCGCATAGGCTTGTGTATAACAATATTTGTTTAACTCTCTAATAAGCGAGTCCAATACTAGACACCATAGCAAGGGGGATAGAACCCCGCCTTGTGGGCATCCCTGTTTGACACTCTTGATTACTTTGGTCTCATTGAGCTGTCCCAAAATGGAGCGTTCCTTAAGCATGGATTCTATCCACTTAATAATAAGTGGTTCTATTCCACGCTGTTGTGCAGATTCACACATAGCATCGAAGGGAGTATTGTCAAAAGCCCCTTCGATGTCCAGGAATATACCTACTGCATACATTTTATTCTCTACAGCTTTCCCTATCTTAGTAGTTAAGCAGTGTAGAGCTGTATCAGTAGATTTCCCCGTTTGATACCCATGTTGGTTTTCATGTAAAGGGTTCTCCTTAAGAGGCCCCTCCTTGATGTACCTATCAATAAGTTTCTCCATAGTCTTAAGAAGAAAAGAAGTAAGACTTATTGGTCTGTAGGATTTTGCTTCATAATAGTTAGTGCGGTTAGGTTTGGGTATAAACACCAGCCTAACCTTACGCCAGCTTTCTGGTTGATGACCATAGGCAAGGCATGCCCTAAATATTTTGCAGAGATGGGGACGATTATCTCTAACCCTTCTTGCAGAAGTGCAGGGAAAATTTCGTCACAGCCTGCAGCTTTAAAACTGCCAAAGGCTTTTATTGCCCATCTTATTCCACTTGGGGTTATCACTTTCCTGGTTAGTCTCCAATCAGCATAGGTCACAAGTTTGTCCTGTGCATCATGTTCCTGTTCTCTGTTGTTAATTGCAGAGTCAGGAAAGTGTGTGTTCATCAAATGTGATAATGTTTCATTATCGTTATTGGTGAACATTAGTATCTGGCAGTAGTATTGCCTCGACAGTTTTGTTTCAGATCAATGACTTCCTGCCTGTTCCTGATAACAAAAGTAGGTTTACTACCTCTGTTCAGTATACTTAGGTCTGTCGTCAGCAATAGATCCTTTATAACCTCTTCTCTTTGGTTGATGTTACTGCTCCCCCAAATAGTGTTATGTGCATTAGCATCCATACTTAGGATTAGTTCTAATTTTTCATTTTTGCAATAATTAAAGAGCATAGTTAGGTCCCTACCTGGGTCTGTGACTTCATATGGTAGGTATCCTGAAGCTACTATAATATTTTTACCATCATTTAGTGTTACTCTAATAATAGTCAAGTCTGCACTTGATAGATTAAGTATCAGGCTGGCTTTAACTTTATTATTAACCAAAATGCAAGTTCTTGGTTTATCTGCTTGTTTATGAAACAGTTTAAAATCCCTTAGATTTAGCCCCTTAATCTGGTCACCATTTAT